GTGGGAGAACGGGTGACCCTGGGGAAAAACTCCACTTGCCCCCCCAGGAACAGGTGGTAGCCCTTGGAGGGATTACCACCTCAGAGGCGGCAGCCCGGGCTGGAGGGATTGTGCTAAATCCAGGCAGGAAATCTGAGCCCACCTGGGTCAGGCCTGGAACGAGGTGTGGGTGTGTAAGGGGAGCAAGACAAGCACGATACTGCCCCCTGCAGGATGCCCGAGGACACTGCTTCCGCACGACTCCCGGGGCTCATGGCAGCGAGCGAGCGCCCCCTGGTGCTAACTGCTGGCATTTCTGCCCAGGTCTGGGGTTCCTGCCAGGCCAGGAACTCTTCGAGAACGACACCCCCTCCCCAACGCTGCGTTCACACACCCTCCCTGCCCGCGGCCCGTCTCCAGAAAGACCCCAGCTCACCCCTGTCCCCACCCTGCCCTGTGGCATCTGCGCTGCCAGGTGGTAATTGTTGTTGGTTAGTAATCAGTGGCTTATTAAAGCGGCCAACTCTGAGGCCACACAGAGGAGGCCAGAGGGGCTGTGGGTCTGCCCAGCTTCAAATCTGGTTGGCCGCTCTGAAGGCCAGGAGAGAGGAATATTAAAGGCAGGGTGGGTTTAACCCACCTGCACAGCGAGGTGGGTTAGGGTCTGGCCCCCCGCAGCTGCAGGACCCCAAGCAGGTCTGTCCTCTACTTTGCTGCTCGGTCGGGGAACCTGGTCAGATCCAGGGGTGCGTGGGGGGCGGCACGCAGAGGAGTCAGCCGTCCCACACCCGCGCTCTCACCAAGGGGTCAGACCTCCCGACCAGGTCGCTCGAGGCACCGAGAGGGTCCTGAGAGCACAAGGAGCATGACGACAGGCGGAGGGAGGCGAGGCAGAAGGACTTCCTCCGAGCGGAGCCCGAATCCAGCCCCTGAGGCGGCGGAGGCGGGCAGACCTCCGGAGCACCTAGCAACAGGCCAGCCATTGGCGGAGCCGAGGACGGAGTGACCTGTGATTGGCTCTCGCGGTGACCGACACCTCGAGGGGCGGGGCTTGAGCATTGAAGCCCGGGCGGCCGCGCCCGGCTCTCGCCCAGCCTCGGGGGTCGTGCGGGCGGGGGTCGACGGGGGGGCGTCCACGTGTCCGGACCCGCGGGACTAGGCCGGGCGTGTGGAAGGCAGGCTGCAGATCCCCTTGCCTGAGGCATTGCGAAGCCTGTGGCTGGCCATGTGGGGGTGGGCGTCGGCGATGGGTCTGGGAGCCCCCCAACCTTGTAAGGCAGAATGCCTTTAAGGCTCAGAGCCCACAGAAAGCTGGGGGACAGCAGTTTGTTACCCCGAGATGGAGGGCGGGATTGCAGGCTTAGGGCCAGGGTGCAAACAGAAGACACCCCTTCGCCCATCCAGGGCCTGGAGGAAGCCTTCTGTCAGCCGGTGGTGGGACTGACAGGTGCTGGTGCTCTAACCCCACCCCGGCCCAGCAGCGGGATGCCACCCTGCTCCTGCCTCAGCTGCTAGGACGCGAACCTGCGCCCATATGCGGGGCGTTCAAGGTGAGGATTTTAGCCACTAGGCCACCGTGCTGGGCCCACGTAAAAATCTTAACAAAGGATGAAGGTAGCGAGTAGTCAGAGTGTATGTGCCCAAGGATGTTGGGAAAACCAAGGTTGAACGTTCAGTGCCCGACACCACCTAGCTACGCATGGCGTTTCATATTGAAGAGGAATTCAGTGAGCTTGGGATCCAAGTTTACAAATGGCAAAGCACACTGGGGGGCGCGCAGGCAGCAGACGAAGACCCAGGGGGCCCTGTCCCCCCCCCCGTGTGGAAGGCCCAGACGGAGTTCCTGGCTCCTGTCTTTGGCCTGGCCCAGCCGTGGCTTTTAGGTACTGAACCAGCAGCTGGAAGATTTCTCTTTCTACCAAAAAGCTGTTACGGTCCTTAAATTCTGGCCCGACTTCCAGCCCCAGCACTGCAGCTGTCACCTTGCTTTACCACCTCAGCCATCCTTCCAACCTTCCTCCGTATGGGGCCACGGTCACCTGCTACTCGGACGGACCCAACTTCCCGACGCCCTAACTGGAAAGGGCAGGCTAGGGAGCCGCCATCGTGCTTCCTCCTGGAGAACATTCCGACGAGGCTCAGAGGCCGCAGAGATGTCAGCTTGCACAACCACGAACAGGGCTCTCCAGCTGGCTTTGGGAACTGGCCCACCATCTCCAGGGCATGTCAGTAGGCAGAAATAGCACGAGTACTGCGTCTACACTGCGCAGCGTCCACCTCCCAACCCCCCATGCCATCACCTCCTTCATGGAATGTTTTTTCGGGGACTCGCCCCCCACCAAACACAGTGGCTATTCACTCCCTCATAACCACTCACTCTCCTTTCACCTTTATCTTATTGCTTCACACTGTTATTTAAAGGCAGAGTAGAGATCTGTCAGTGGTCTGGTTCGCTCTTCTAACAGCACCGACAGCCAGGGTGGGGCCAGGCCCAAGTTTGGAGCCCAAGACACGGTGAACTGGGCTTCCCAGGAAGGAACCCAGGTGCCTGTTCACCTGCTGTCGCCTGAGGTTGTGTTGACCTTAAAGCCAGGATCAGAAGGAAGAGCTGGGACTTGAACCCAGGCACTCGCATGCCAAGCAGCATCAAAAAAAAATTTTATTTATCTTTATTGCAAAGTCAGATATACAGAGAGGAGGAGAGACAGAGAGGAAGATCTTCTGCACAATCATTCACTCCCCAAGCGGCCACAATGGCTGGAGCTGAGCCAATCTGAAGCCTGGAGCCAGGAGTTTCTTCTGGGTCTCCCAAGCAGGTGCAGGGTCCCAAAGCTTTGGGCCGTCCTCGACTGCTTTCCCAGGCCACAAGCAGGGAGCTGGATGGAAAGCAGGGCTACCGGGATTAGAACCGGTGCCCAAATGGGATTCCAGGTGTGCAAGGAGAGGACCTTAACCACTACGCTATCACACTGGACCCCAAGCAGCATTTTTACACTCAGCATGCCAAATGGCCATCCAGTGTCTAGTTACCGATTTGATACCAGCATTGCTAGGTTTGGTCCTGGCTTCCAACTCAACAGAAATGATCAAGACACAAGGCAAGCAAAGGAACAAGATTCCCTCGAAAACAGGTTCACAGTGTGGGCAAGCTACAGAGAGGAGCTACAATGACAGGGTGTTGGTGCCGGGCTAAGCTTAGAACTGTTCACCATCAGTAGCTTTTCAGGGAAGGACTGGAGGCCTGCTCCCACCCTTGCCCTTGGAGGGAAATCTCAGCTGTGTCACCGCTGTCAGGTGCAGGGATTAAAAGTGGGCATGCATACTATGATTTCATTATAAAGAACCTGAAGGTCCAGTTGGCAGTTGTATTGATATTTCAGGACACACTGGTGCTTTGTGGGGAAGGGGAGGCCTGCATGGAAAGGGGTGGGACGGGACACAGTAGCTATAGTTGTACCAGGAGTTGGCAATACCCAACCCCTCCTTGCCCCCATCAACCTAACTCTCTATCCTGAGAACCAATGCAATGAGGCTGTTTGAACCTGGTTAGAAATCCAGCTGAGACATATGGGAGACACTGAAGTGGCATGTGAGACCTCCCCCCCCCAGGCAAACTCCAGTCCCACGGGTGTCCGGATTCCCGCACCTATAATAGGCAGAGACCTGGAAGGAACAAGGGCGGCACAGGAAGGATTTCTGGGTTCTCTCTCTTCTCCCCAAAGAGCCTCAGGGCCCCCAGCAGATGCAGCCTGGTTGTCTTGACCTGGTCCTGGTTAGCACCTGCGCTTCCTGTCACGAGGTGTTGGCCATTCCTCCACCGTCAGGAATGTGCATGCTAAGAGCCGAAGCTGCTGTAGGCTGCACAGCTGTGGCCCGCTAGGGCCCACGACCCGGTGACGGGGGTTGGGGGAGGACTCACTCTGGTGCCACACCCTACGGCTGCCACAGGATGTCTTGAGGGGTGCACCAGCTCACACAAGTGCCTGCAGCCATCTGTCCACAAGGTGTCACCATTCCTGAAATGAGATTTCCAAAGTTCTCAGCTGGGTTAGGAGGTGTCTCTCTCCCCACTGTGTGTCACTGCCTTGCCCGGGCTGCTGGGGCGGGCACAGGCTCCCACAGGGCAGGGTGGCGCTCAGTCTGGCATCGCTCCTACCCAGAAAGCCACCTTCTTGTGAATCCCACACTGGGAAAACTGTGACCTAGCAACCTTTGGCACTGGCAGGTTGCTGGCCAAGGAAAAGGAGCCAACAGTTTACTTACAAGTACTTTTTCAGTGCAAAGCATCATCTTGTCCTAAGAGGTTACACAGGCCACCAGACCGGCCAACTCACTGACCACACACTGGACTAGGAAACCTACAATCCCTACCCAGGCTTGGTGACTCAGTGGTTAGGGGGCAGCACACCAGTGTGTCCTGGGTCTTACCTCATTCTCCCTAAGTGGCCAGGAGCTTCACCCAGGTCTCCCGTGTGTGGGGGGTGGGGGATTAGGGAGTTTTCTGCAGGCGCATTAGCAGGGAGCTGGATCGGAATTGGAACAGCTGGGACACATGGAGTGCCAGCATAGCCGCCCACCACCTCAGCTTTTAACCCAGCTCCCTGCCAGGGTGCCTAGGACGGCCACCCCCCCCATTGAGACGGCCCCATCTCCAGCCGCAGCCAGTGCAGCCACCTGTGGAATAGCAGGTCTGTCTGTATCCTTCACTCTGCCTTTTCAATTAATATTAAAAAAAATAATAACTTAAGATCAAGAAGGGCCATGACTCCAGCTTAGCCAAAGTCCGTCTGCTCTCCTGAAACAGCCCTTGTCATGAATGTCACCGACGCCGGCCCAGCTCCCCACGTGCACACGCAGTGTGGCCCCACCAACCTCATTCCCTGGCTGCACCGTGGGAGGCAGGGGTGGGGCAGGGAGAGGAAGAGAGAAAGAGAGAGAAAGCACGCTTGGGTCCCACGGAACCTTCCAGAGTAAAGGCACAGCACCACTTATGGAAAGAAAAACTCGCACGTCACAGGGCGTCAGATCTGTAAGTTTATTTGCTCAATGTACGACAGCTACATAATGACTCACATTCATGATATTCCATCACTGAGGAAAACTGCTAAGAATGGTCCGTGTGGGAAAGAATTCCTTAGAGAAACACGGAGCTGGAGAAAAAAAATCACTGATTAGACCTTGAAGAGAGTTCACCGCGGACCAGGACAAGAAGCACAGGCGCACTCGGGGGGCGCGCGCGGCGGCCCCCGACACGGCAATAGCTATAATGTCACCATGACAAACACCAGACATCGAGATTAAGCTAACACTGGTGTTTCTTTTGCTCCCCCCCTTAAAAAAAAAAAAAAAAGAAAAAGAAAACAAAATATAGAACTGCATGTCACTATAGCAACAACCAAAACAGATCAATTGCTTACGATCACTATTTGATAGAGCAAACTTTACCCCCAAAAGGAAAAAAATTAAATAAAAAAAAAACCTTAGAAAAAATTTTTTGAAGACTTAATTTTTTTTGTCATAGGAATACGTAACACCTACAGTATAAGTTAATAAATTTCAAGCTACTGTATAGAAATACAACACTAGCATGCACAATATCGTATCAAGAGAGTAATGGAGGAGTGTTCATTTCACCAGAGACGGTATCATAGGCAAGTGCGTTTCTTTAAAAATAAAGAAAAGGAAAGAAACCTTTTGAGCTGCTTAAATGCCAAGTCTCCCATCCCCTTTATTTTCCAGCCCTCGGATAGGGTTTTTCTCTCGCGCAAATCTAAAAAAGCAGCCAGAGCCAAAGCTGAAATGGAAAGGAAAAACAGGGTAGGTTTTGTAATTCCAGTAAATCACTTTTAAATGCTACAGGAAGGACACTGCTCAGTGGACACGAAGATGGATCGGGCAGAGCCCCGGGCCCTCCACTCCAGCTGAGCAGGGGCCACCCACGTGACCCCACAGCTCCAACGACATGCGTGCCCGCTCCTCTTCCGTGCCCTGTATCCTCGCCAACACGCTCCTACGGGTGAGCTCCACCTGCCAGCCTCTTCCCCCGTCGCTGCTCACATCTGAGCTAGCCTGACACAGCAGAGGAAGTCCTGGAGTCGCTACCTAGCTCGGGAGTTCACACGGGTACTGACTTCCAAACACACAACACACGCACACACACCTGAACACACATGCAACAGGTCACGTTTGTACAGACAGACACACGCCTAAAGCTAACTCAACAGGGTTCTGGAAAGAGTAATGCCATTTCCTTCAATTCCAAGATGTGTGCAACTGCACAAGAGAGAAAGTGAACCCCTGACTGCCATGCTTCGTGATAAACCGCTGAAAACTCGAGTCGACATTTGCCGGGGGGGAAGGAAAAAAAATGGAACTAAAAGATAACATGCATTTTTCCACAATTTTTTTCAGAAGGCAGTAGGCATGGTCTTCAAGATCTCTTGCTCCAAAATTAACTCATCTTTTAATCCTATTTTCCAAAAAATAATAATTAAAAACAAACAAACCAAAAAACCCAAAGATCATCACGAAGCCCTGCCTGTGTCACCTGGCAATGACTTGGTTTCCCTTCCTGCTTTTCAGGTAGGAGGAACGGACACGAACGAGGCAGAGATGAACAGAGCGAGCCCCTCCTGTCAGGTTCTCCTAGCACCTGAATTTTCACACCCCACCCCACCAACTCACTCCGGAGCTTTCTGGGCCCGGCTGTGGGCCCTGAGGCACCAGGGACAGGTGGGGAAGACGGAGGGAGCCTATGGCGTCAGCAGGGAGGAAGAGGGATGAGGTGGGTTGGTGGCTGCTTCAAAAGCAGGACCTTCTCCGGGAAAAAAAAAAAAATCAACACGAGAAATGACATACAGACCTGAATTTTCTCAATTTTTGTGGTGTTTTATGTTTCTATTAAAATGATCAATAATTTTTTTGTGTGCGTGGTGGATTTACCTTAAGAGGAAAGAAGGACCCCTCCCCCCCCAAAAAAATTTCCCACAGCCACCTGCTGAGCACCTGCTGCCAAGCCTGATGTAGCTTTGGTTCTCCTCAGGCCAGTCTTGGGGAGACAGAGAAAACAGCAAAACCGACCCGGAGAAGGCAGGACAAGGATGTGAAGCCAAAATAACTAGCAAAGAAAAACACACAGTTGATGGCTTGATGTTACGTATGGCTGTAATGTAGAAATACTGTAAACTGCGATTTAGTGTTAATACTGTCAACTCATCCAAGACTGCCGAAAACCAACGAGGCCTAAACCGTCAGGAGGCACGCACCTCACGTTCCTCAGGGTCTGTGCGTTTGGGGTTCAGGCCGTCTCCCTGTCTGGTAGGTAGAGCACACCCTGAAAACACACACAGCTCAAAGAGATGAGATGGAAAGTACCAGAAACTTAAGACAAGAGCGTATGTACAGAGAAGTCCTTACTGGAACCACAGAACTTACTGAGTGAGGGCCACTCCACTGAGGCTTGCTTTTCGTCTTAAACCCTTCTTCCTAGCAAATAAGTTAACTTAGAGACAGCTCCACTCACATCCATCTACAGAGCAGTCCGTGGGCCCGTGGGAGGCTGCTCCTCCCACACCAGCACGGCTAGCCTGACTTTCCACTAGTGGTAATTTGGCAAAAATGTCAAAGAGGCGATCCAAGACAGGACAGGTCGTGGGTTTCTCCCTGGGAAGGTTAGCCCTCCCTCTCCCTCCCCCACCCGACCCCCAACTCATGGGAAAAAAATAAAGACTGCAGTAGTAGCATCCGCGTGCGCTGCGAGTCCACCTGGGGCCTTAATTGTTGCCCTCGCCGCCGTCGTCATCTTGCTGGTCGCTCGTCCAGAGCGTGAGGTTGTCGCGCAGCAGCTGCATGATGAGGGTTGAGTCCTTGTAGGAGTCCTCGTTGAGGGTGTCCAGCTCGGCGATGGCGTCGTCGAAGGCCGTCTTGGCCAGGTGGCACGCCTGCTCGGGTGCATTCTGGATCTCGTAGTAGAACACGGAGTAGTTGAGGGCCAGGCCCAGGCGGATGGGGTGCGTGGGCTGCATGTGCTCCTTGCTGATCTCATGCGCCTCGCTGTAGGCCTTCTCCGAGGACTCCACCACGGTGGCCCGCTTCTCGCCAGTGGCCACCTCGGCCAGGTAGCGGTAATAGTCCCCTTTCATCTTCAGGTAGAACACCTTGCTCTCGTACTGGGTCTCGCTGCAGTTCTTGATCAGGTAGTTATCGAGCAGGCTCAGTACGTCCTGGCACACAGCTTCCAGCTCCTTCTCGATCTTCTCACGGTACGCACGCACCATCTCGATCTTCTTCTCATTGCCATCGGCGGACGTCTTCTGCTCAATGCTGCTGATGACTCGCCAGGAGGACCGGCGCGCCCCAACGACATTCTTGTAGGCCACAGAAAGCAGGTTGCGTTCTTCATTGGACAACGGCTCGTTGAGCTCTGTGACCTGGCAGGGGGGCAAGGAGAGAGCGTGGTTAGGGAGAGATGCCCTCAGCTCTAACAGCCTCACTGCTCACAATCCAACATGCACAGGAGAACCTGGGGGCCGGAGGGCTGCAGGTGGATGAGCAGCACGAAAGGGGAAGCATGCAACCAGGGGACCCTGGACCCCCCAGCTTCCTCCCAGAGAAGGATTTTGTGTCTCCGCCGCAGGCTGTTCTAGCGAGCTGTTGAGCTGAGCTCTCAGGTAACAAGCCCATTTGAAGTGCACAGGGTCAAATTTCTCATGACATTAAACACACCATACCTACAGATTTTCTAAGTATACATGGCTGACATTCCATTCCTTGGCAATTTTTTGTGGAAACAGAATGCTGGCTCCCTCCTAAGGTTGCACAGTTGCATCCAGTCTTGGTGAACACACACTGAACCAATTTCAACTTGACTGCTGATGCTCACATGGGCTTTTCTGCTTGTATGTGAAGACTACGGTGGGCATAACAGCCTCTGAAAGGTGATCCTATCTGGGGCTGGAGCTGGGACTGCCCAGTGCAATATCTTAGCAGCTCAGGTATCAGGTGCTCATAGGAGCATGTGCAAAAACACAATTAGGAACACAAAAGGGAGAAACACTTTGAGCTGAGTGAGGGGCTGGCAAGAATGAGGATGACTTCCAATACAGGCACGTCTCATCAAAATGCCAACAATAAATGAAGCCCTCAACATCACATTTCAGGTGCCCAACCACCACATGCAGTCACTTACACAAAGGACAGCACTATTGCTCCTGCCTGTCCCAGGTCACTCAGCGCCGCCCCTCTGGTTCACTGCAGTTCCCGTGGTGCCTAAGCCTCATTTACTAACTCAACAGCTGAGTCCCAGCAAGCCATATAACCTACCCTCCTGCCCCAGCCTCGCCATCAGTCCTCTAGCAGCACACTGCGTGCGTGCAGCTGATCCTCTGCCCCGCCTGGCGAACACTCCTGCCACTCATCACAGTCAAGGTCCCAGGCGGGCCGGCCTCTATGATGTCACCCTGTTCCAGGGACTACCTCCCCGATTCCTCACTGTTCCTGATGTGGATCAACTGCAACACACCAGGATCTTCAAAAGAATCATGGAAATGTGTATTATGGGGCAGGAGGGAGTCTATGCAAGGATATCATAATTTTTTTTTAGAAAAATAAACCATATATATAGATATATATGGTTTATTAAATATATATATATATATTTTTTAGTCTTTGAGCCATTACACTAGGCCCTGAAATAAATCTTTAAATATATATATAAATATAAATCTTATAAATACATATATTTATATATATTTAAAGATTTATTTTTAAATAAATCTAAATATAAATATATAAATCTAAATAAATTTAAATAAATAAATCTAAATAAATTTAAATATAAGTTTTATATTTAAATATATATATTTAAAGATTTATTTCAGGGCCTAGTGTAATGGCTCAAAGACTAAAATCTCACCCTGCAGGTGACTACATCCCATATGGGCACTGGTTTGAGTCCCAGCTGCTCTACTTCTCTTTCAGCTCCCTGCTTGTGGTTTTGAAAAGCAAAGGAGAATGGCCCAAGGGCATGCGCACCCAGAGAGAGACCCCAAGAAGCAGCTCCACATTTCAGATCGGTTCAGCTCCAGCCACTGTGGCCATTTGGAGAGTGAACCAGTACATGAAAGGTCTTTGTATTCTCTCCATAAATCTGATCTGTCTTTCTAATTTAAAAAAACAAAACAAAACAAGCTTAAATTATCTTAGGGCCTTGTGGCTGAAGTCCTTGCCTTGCATGCGCCAGGATTCCATATGGGCACCAGTTCATATCCCAGCCACTCCATTTCCCTTCCAGCTCCCTGCCTGTGGCCTGGGAAAGCAGCACTATTTGGCCCAAAGCCTTGGGACCCTGCACCTGCATGGGAGGACTCAGAAGAAGCTGCTCCTGGCTCCAGATTGACTCAGCTCTGGCTGTTGTGGCTAGTTGGGGAATAAACCAGTGGATGGAGGATCTTCCTTTCTGTCTCTCTGTAAATCTTCCTAATAAAATAAATATTTTAAAAAAGAAATGAGTTAAAAAATTATTTGAGGCCAGCACTATGGCATAATAGGCTAAGCCTCTGCCTACCGTGCTGGCATCCCATATGGGTGCTGGCTTTAGTTTCTGGGCTCCTGTGCCCACATAAGAGACCTAGAAGAACCTGGCTCCTGGCTTTGTATCAGCCCAGTTCTAGACCTTGTGGTCATTTGTGCAGAGAACCAGCAGATGGACTATTCTGTCTCTCCTTCTCTGTGGACTTCTGCCTTTAAATAAAAAGCCCCACTGACCCCATATCCCCAAGGACATGATGATGGTGGGCCTTTGCACAGGTGCAGAACTGGAAACATAATCGGAAGGATATCCTGATCTATTCTGGGGGTGTCTGGGATATCCACATCTCTCCACAAGCTGCATTAGTTACAACTACATTCCACTTTTATAAAGGGGCTGGGGGCAAGCTTGGAGAAACAGGTTGCAGTCACTACGTCAAGCATAATCTAGCTGCTTAGAGATGATGAGAAAAAAACTCAAATAACCAGTTTTTGCAATTCATTCTTTGCCTACACCTGGCTTACTAATGCTTGCAATGCACAGCCTCCAGCATACACTAGTCTCTCTCTCAACAACCCCCACCAGCACGCTTTCCTGGGACCGCTCCTCCCCTTCCTGCCTTGGCTGGCTGGCGTGCCCCATGTGGTCTGAGCAGGAGGAGGTCCAGGAGAGGTGCTCCCAAGGGTGTGTGCCCTTCTAGAGTCAGGCAGGGGGCAGTCTCTCACCCCAGAGGGCCCTGCGTGCAGCCCTAACCCACCCCTGGTGCCAAGTGAGAATGACCTGTGTGCCACTGCCCGAGCACACCCTGGTCATCTCCGTGCACTCCTACCCTGCAGGAGTCCACCCCATGCCCACTCACAGGCTTCTCGCCCTCAGGGACTGCACCAAGGGTCTCTTGTCCCTGCCTCCTCTCCAGCACGCAGGGCCCTCTGGGGTGAGAGACTGCCCCCTGCCTGACTCCAGCACGAGGCACCACTAGCACATGGCCGGGGAGAAGCTCCCCAGCCCAGCTCCTCAGGGCCCCCAAGGCAGGTACAGGACGAGACTCCGGCTCTGCTCAGCAACTGCACAGATGCCAAGGCCGCCTTGCAGCTGAAGGCCACGAGGATCAAGTTCTGGCCTTTCCCTTCAATCATGCTGTCCCTGTTTCAAGAACCAAGAACTATTTGAGGTTCTAGTGACCTCACTGCAACATGACACCGCTAGGCCAGGGCTCCTCCTGCGGGGAGCTGGGTTGGTCCCCAGGCGGCAGAAGGCATTTGTGCCCAGGGCATCCACTTGCCACAAATTGGAACATGAGGATTGCAAAAGGCCACCATCACCTTTAGTACAGTAACTCGAGCGCACTTGGAAGGTGCCCAGGCACTTCCTGCCAGTGAAGAACCAAGTCAGAGGGAAGAGCCATCAGCTCTAAAAGCTCTGTGGCCTGAGGGGGCTAGCACCTGCACTGTGGCACAGAGGGTTAAGCTGCTGCTTGCTAGTACCTCGGAAGAGCACAAGTTCAAGTCCTAGTTGCCCATTTCTTCTTCGTTTAAAGATTTATTTATATTGGAAAGTCAGATATACAGAGAAGGAGAGACAGAAAGACCTTACGCCCACTGATTCACTCCCCAAGTGGCAACAACGGCCAGAGCTGAGCCACTGTGAAGTCAGGAGCCTCTCTTCCGGGTCTCCCAGGCCTTGGGCCATCCTCTACTGCTTTCCTAGGCCATAAGCAGAGAGCTGGAAGGGAGGTAGAGCAGCCAGGATACAAACCGGCACCCATATGGAATCCAAATGTGTGCAAGGTGAGAACTTTACCCACTAGGCTACCGTGCTGGGCCCAGCTCCATTTCTAATCCAACCTCCTCCTAATGGGCCGGGAAGATGTCTACGTACTTGGAACACAAACACAAGTCCTGCTCCTTGGCTCCAGCCTGGCCCAGCCCTGGTTGTGGCCGTCTGCAGAGTAGAAACAGCAGTGGAAGACCACTCTCTCAGTCTCTCCCTTTCAAATAAAGACTGCTTATAGTGGGCCCTACATGGCTGTTAGCCATTCTCCCGGGGAGGACCCAGAGGACGGCTCCCCCGCCCAAGGCCTGCCCCTTCAGGTTCTCTGAAAGTTGACCAGTTCACCCAAGGTCCTGGGAGGACCAGGTCATCTCCAACTGTCTCTGCTGATCAAGAGCCTTAAAACTCAAGAACATAAACATCAAAGACAACTGCTGACTTATTCAACATGATATTTGAATTAATCCTTTTTAAAAAATATATATTTTGGGGTTGGCACCATGGCTTTGGATCCACTCAGCTCTGGCCATTGTGGCAATTATTGGGGAGTGAACCAGTGAACAGATCTTTCTCTCTATGTATTTGTCTTTCATGTGAAAATAAATAAGTCTTAAAAAAAAAAAACACCCACCACACACAATTCTGTAAAAACTCTACCATGGGGTCCCTCTGGCCTGCAATCCAGTGACTGGCTCTGCCATCGGGCCCAGCTTCCTGCCCAGGCACACTCTGGGAGGCCCAAGTACTTGGGACCGTGCCACCTATGCGACAGAGTTCCCGCTCCAGCTCTAGCCTGGTCCAGCCCCTGGCTGCTGAGGGAACTTGAGAAGTGGACCAGCACATGAAGTTTTTGTCTCTTTTCGCAAAGTAAGATGCAGATGAATTTCAAAGAAAATTTTCAGCAGAAGACAACCAGGCTGTTCACGACTCTCGCTCCACTACTCCAATCCCTGTGCCCGCTCCTCAGAGACAGTGGTGACTGCTGATCAGTTGGGGACTGTCATCCATGTGGGAGACCCTCTTTGAGCTCCTGACTTCCCAGCATCAGGACGGCCCAGTCCCACAGGTGGGGAGTGAACCAGCAGGTGGCAGCTTATCCTTCCTTCGCAGTATCTAAACTTACTGGGTCTA